ATAAGTTCATGGCTTTGCACGTATTCTGAGTAAAACTATACGTAAGTGACATCAAGGCCCTAGAAAGCATGTTTATATATTTCCATTGAATCATCCTAACGAAAACCTTTTTATGATTGATTCAAAATATGGGAGCATGAATAAATAAAGACAATGAAGTAAAGAACAAACCTTGATTGCAGCTTTAACCATTGGTTGCTTCAACCTAAAAGGCAACTTCTCTGAGAAATCAACTGCAATATATATCCACCTACGCAATCATTATCAAATGCAAACATCTCAACACACAAACCTTTTATACCCGGACCAATGTACATTGTCCACATTAAAATGAGTTCAACTTATTCAAAGTCGAACCTCAAATGTTTTACAGGCCTGATCAAAGGCGTTCTTATTCACGGGTCTAACAGCAATAATATCAAAACGTTTGAAGTAGAGAGGAGTTCTTTAATAGCTTATGTCAATGCTACTGGTTCAGTCATGTACTTAATGTCATGTACAAGACCTGACCTGGCATTTGCTATAAGTGGAATGAGAAGATTCATGGTTTATCCTCGAGAAATCCATTGGGAAGCCGTGATATTACTGCTCAGGTACATAAAGGGAACATCTAATATTCTAGGTATAGTATTACTATTAGAAAGAATAGACAAGGGATAATTCTTAAAGGTTTGTTGATTATGACTTTGCTGGAAATAAAGACAACAAAAGATATCCTCTGCCTATTTCTATACATTTGTGAATTGAGATATGATGCAGGACCAATGCAGTTCAAGCCAATAAGAAGAAAAGAACAGAAGAAGCAAGAAGAAGAAGCTAAAGAAGAAGAAGAAGAAGAAGAAGCCGTGAAGAAAAGGGGAGGAAGAAGAAGAAGCAGGGAAAAGGAGAAAATTTGGCAACGGCCAATCTCAATTTTAGTCAATCATCGTCTACTAAATTGTAATGTAAAAACTGTTTAAATAGTGAAAACCTAGTTGGGTTTGGGCTAACCCACTATTACAAACCCAATAATAATAAAAACATAAATAATAAAGTCCAATAACAATAACATAAATAATAAAACTCAATGACAATAAAATAAATCTCGATGTCTCGATGATGTCCGCATCAGAAAACCTCTCAACTTTGCTTTCCTGGTGTCGGGGTTTTCTTTGCACGGGCGGAGTGTGATTGTTGGGGCTGTGGTTTGCCTTGCACGGGTGGTGAGTTGGACTTGGGTGTGGGAATATAAAGCTGCTGAGAAGTGGATTGGGGCGGTAGAGACGGTGACCGGGTCCTGCAGTTGCAGCGGTGCGATGTTTGTTGCATGGGTGAATGGGTCGGTTTTGGGTGGCGGCGGTGACTGGTGGGATGTTGGCTGGCTATGGATTGATTGTGTAGAAGAATTCCCAAGTTTAGCTCTGATACCAAATTTGATGCAGGACCAATGCAATTCAAGCCAATAAGAAGAAAAGAACAGAAGAAGCAAGAAGAAGAAGCTAAAGAAGAAGAAGAAGAAGAAGNAGAAGAAGAAGCCAAAGAAGAAGAAGAAGCCGTGAAGAAAAGGGGAGGAAGAAGAAGAAGCAGGGAAAAGGAGAAAATTTGGCAACAGCCAATCTCAATTTTAGTCGATCATCTTCTACTAATTTGTAATGTAAAAACAGTTTAAATAGTGAAAACCTAGTTGGGTTTGGGCCAAACCACTATTACAAATCCAATAATAATAAAAACATATATAATAAAGTTCAATAACAATAACATAAATAATAAAGCTCAATGACAATAAAATAAATCTCGATGTCTCGATGATGTCCGCATCAAGATACCTACATAAGCTGGGAGTCACAGCTTCAGAAAATAATTGCTTTATCTTCAACTAAGTGATCCTGGATTTGGGGAAAATGAAACTGTGTTGTGTTGTCTTAGCCATAGTGCTATATACCTTAGTAAAAATCCTATCTTTCATGATAGGACGGAACACATAGATGTGAAATTTCATCTTATAGTTTCAAAAGGGATAATTTTACTGGAAAAATTCTATAATTTGCCAAATCCAGCTGACATGGGCACTAAAGTTCTATATGTTAATAAATTTAAGAATTGTTAAATTTTTTGAATTTTGATGCTGCTTAATTCTTTGTGCAGTTAGATGAATGGACTCTTAATGATTGTGTGAAAGAAGATGAAAAGTTGAAGTGAGAAAGAGTTGAAAGTGCAAATTTAGCAATCCCCTACGAGGACAAGAAATGAAAAAAGAGGAACTGAAGCTGGAGCTGGAACATCACATCATAAGGAGCAAAAGAAACAGGATAAGGAGTACATGTTACTTTTTCAAGAAGGGTGGACACATGAAGAAAGAGTGTTTCAAATACACTACATGGCGTGTAAAGAAAAATATGCTTCTCACTCTAGTTTGTTCTGAAGTTAATCTATACATAATTGGTGGGTAGATTCCGGTGCTACTACTCATTTAAGTATGTCCATGCAAGATTGCCTAGGGAGTTGAAAACTAATTGATACTAAAAGATTCATCTAGGTGGACGATGGAAAAACAGTTGCGGTAGATTCATCCATTGTATTTGTTGGATGCCAATACAGTAAAAGATCCACTTTGAGCTATATTTATCTATTAATTGGATGAGCTATTTATTGGAAGAGTGCTAAGCAGACATTTATAGATTTTTCCACTATGGCAGCAGAGTTTATAGCATGTTATGAGACATTTAATCATTAGATATGGCTCAAAAACTTTATCACTGGGCTGCGAATTGTGAATGATATTGAAATATCATTAAAGATATATTGTGACAATAATTCGACTGCACTTTATTCCAACAACAACAGAAGCTCTACGAAAACTAAGCATAGATATCAAATTTCTCGTTGTTAAAGAAACAGTCAGAATCATCAAGTAGCTATAGAACATATTGGGACAAACTTCATGATTATGGATCTGCTTACTAAGAGTTTACTATCTAAGGTCTTTCATGAGCATCTTATTCATATGGTTGTTATTTTATGTGACGATGTGCATGTTTAGTGGGAGTTTGTATTTTGATGTTCTTTGTTGTAAACATTTTATATTTTTTCTACAGAATAAAGTATATGGATCTTTTATAAACTTTGAATTTTATTCTTGTTTGATCTCACTAAAGAATAAAGTTGAATCGGTTGAAAATAGGCAAGTTTAAGATCACATTGTATGTAATTTCCATTACGCATCCATAATCGATCTATGTCGTTGAATATATTGGTACGGTGACCATTGATGGGTCTAGTTACGAATATATGTAATGAACGTCGCCTTGCTCCCATGCTAATATAGTAGATGGACCAGATTGTGACCAATGATATATTTTAAAATAGATAGCTTTTCAGTGTGCACTCAAGACTATTTATAATATAATTGTTTCATGAAAAATATGCAGCCCTAGTGGGAGATTGTTGAAATTTTATTTAATTTCTTATTATGGACTTACATATTAAGTGACAATTATATTAGGGCTATCTAATTTAATAGGGCCAAATAAGTGATCTATTAATTGGGCTCTTGAGATATCCATTGAGTAGGTGCTTTAATGTGTAGACACCCAATACTAATTGAATTAGGGTTGATGGACTCTAATTCGAGATAGAATATAAGGATTATTATAAGGGTTGTGGTCCCAAGTCAAATCATACGTAATATTGGCCCTTTCTTACTCCATGCCCATTAAAGTCTTTCTCAGAAGAATTGCTAATTTTACAGAGACGATCAGGAGCTTTCACATGAGAATATGCACAAATTAGCTACGTGCCTTTGCACGATATTTATGAAAGCAACACTAGGCGAATAGGCAGTGAAGATGGAGAGGGAGGATCACTTTATCATTAGGAAGAAAGAAGCATATTCCCACGATGTCATTACTCACTTTTTTGGCAAATTTTGAGTTAGGTGAACCTCAAAATCTTCATTTGGTATGATATATTCATGCGTGTGTGATCTGTCCTCACGGCTGAGGAGTGGATTTTATTAAGAGTAATTCAGTTCACTTTACAACCTTAATTTTAGTTGTAATAAACATGTGAAAAAAGTGAATGTATGTAATATGCACTAACTCAAAAGGCTCTTTACATATAGGGAAATTATTCTTAAAGTAAGGAGCAAATTCTAATATTTTGCATCTAAATTTTGGTTGTATGTTGACTTTCATTGAACTTGACTACAAGCTTGTTTGCCACAATTTTTTTTTTTTCTAAAATTATTTTCCCTCAAAACATTTTTTTTTTACACCTACACACTCTTATAAGATTTACGATTCTTCAAAATTTTATTTTTCTTTGAAAAATTCTTTGCTAAACAAGCTTTAAGTTTGGAGTGAACATTCATTTTGGACATTCTGCAGGCTGGAAAAGGGTTTCTAACACCTATACAAACTCAGCTTTAAGCATTATTTTAGTTATAATTAAGGATTATCTCTTAAGACTTTGATTGTTTATTAGTTTGAAATTGTCGCGATTAGCTTAAATTATACTAAATTAATTAATAATAGTACTCAAAACTCTTCTTGAAGAAGAAAAGCTTTAGATAAGTGATCGTCGTGTGCTATTCGAAAGAAGCATTATTTAATTTACTTGTAATTGAAGATTCTCTCTTAAAATTTGATTGTTTATTTGGTTTGAAACTACGTGTGCTCATCTTAATTAGCTTAAATTATACTTCAACCGTCACAAATATTTGCAATGGATATTTTTCGTTACAAAAGAGAATATTTCATTTTCGTGTACAATCCCGTTACTATTATTTTTAAAAAAGTAGGTTTTAAACAAATGGATGAGAATTGTAGAATTTCCCTTCACGCCCACACCTCGCATGATGCCAAATCATTTCATACTTCAACAATCGGCCACTCCCGAAACACATAAAACCGCACTAAAACAAGAAGAGATCCCAACACACTCTCTCTCTCTCTCTCTCTCTCGCGCACACACGCATTCTTCTTATTTCTGAAGCACCTTCTTGAGATAAACTGGCCTGAAAAATGGCCTCTACATGCATCTCAAACTGTATTAACGACGCCCGTGTTCCGGTTAGAGCCACCTACGTGAACCTCTACAAGTGGCCGGAATCAGACGCGGAGTTTGTACGATCAGTGAGCTCTAACACCCACCGGAATGGCCCAAGTGGCGGCGCTAGCGCCTACGGCCGTCCCCGGGTGGTGGACAGCATCTCATGCAGACAATTGTACTTAAGAAGCTACACTTTCTCAAGGGAAGAAGATCATAAGGATGATGAGAAGACCATAAAGTGCCTTGGAAGGGGAAAAGAGAAGCAGACAATGGATAATAAAAGAAAAAGAAAGTCTCGTGGCCGTGGCGGCGATCGCGGCAGCAGAAGTGATGGCGGAAGGAGGAAATGTAAAGGGTTTAGGAGGGTTAAGGCAGTATCCTGTGCCGCCTTGGTGTCCATTTTCCGGAGGTTGCTATCTTGCACCACCGAGGTTGATGTTGTCAATTAATAGTAATTATATTTTCTTCTCTTTTTTATCGTATTTATGACATTTTCCGGATATCAAGGTTTTGATTATACAAAGGGATTTATAACGTTATTCACTTCGATGATTTGTATGTATCTATGTTTATTGACTTTGTCCAGTGAATAATATATATATAACTACTTTGTTTTTAATCTAAACTTGCTCGTTAATCACTTATTCACAATTATAATAAATTTATTATCTACATATTTCGTGTGATACATTACTCATCTTCACTGCACTCTCATTTTAGATGTCGCTTATGTCAAATAATCACCAATTTAATCTAAATTAGATTACTAGTCCCTTTAAATCACATTAATCCCTTGTTTGAGTCCCATTTTTCAAAAAAAAAAAAAAAATTTCTCCCA